GAGTTCTGAACTGTTTAGTTGATTAACTGGTAGCCTCAGCAAAGAGAGCACAGAAACTAAAAACTCTCTTCATTGTTAGTGATGGTTCCTCCAGCTCACGTGTGGTGGAGGTCAGGAAGTGAGGTAAATTTCTTAGTGTGACATTCCTGACAGACTCGGCGGGCCAAGGACTTTAGAGGTGTTGAACTGTGCTAGGCCAAATGCATATAAAAACTATTCCCTTCCAAGCTGCCCCATGTATTAAAGCCCTGAACCCAAAAATCTGAAATCAAAAGAAACAAGCACATACCCTAAATCTTCTGCAAACTACAGGTATGAGAAAAGCCATGCTAATTTAAATTCTTACCACGGCTTTTCTAAATGTGTTTCTCATCATCTGTCCGTTTCAAAGTATTCTAAAATGCACCCCTACTAACACTTGGTGCATAACCCTTGGCCTGCAATGTTAGTTTGAATCAGCTAGACCAGGGGAACAGCACAGGCACAAGGTAGCCCTTTGGTACCCATCTTAGACTACTGGTATGGCTTCCTAAACAAGAATCTTTAGTCTTTCCTTAGACTAAGAGTTCTGATGACTGATCCCCGATAAACAGTAATATTAAAGAGGAAAGGTGAATAGGGTAAGAGTTTCTAAAGCTGTAGCCTTCAAGTGTCTCATTTAGAAGCTTCCATTTTTTTTTAATGTAGAAAAGTGAACCACTATTGGCTCCATTTCAAACAGGTAAGTGTGAGCATTGCTAACACTTATTCTTAGGTAGATTTAAAAGGGAGAGGAGTTCCCTTGACAAAGCTTGAAAAGTGGAAACATTTGTATAGGGTAAAAAGGATTTTTAATCTTCTACATTTCATAGCCTGCCCAGACAATTCAAAAGTGGCATAAAGGAAGCAGGTTAAGAGACAGCATCCACTGGGTGGCTTAAAAGTGGTTTTTGAACATGTGAAACAATAGAGAAGAGACTTGTCCCACAAAGCCTTTAACCTCCACAGGCAGAACTACCATTGCCCTGCAGTGGCATTGTTTGGAAGCATCAGTTAGTTTTCTGCTTTGCCTCCTACGGAAATAAAGGACAAGAGTGCCCCCTGCAGTCCTGCCAAGTGAGCTACCTCCAGTTCCAAAGGATGGTTTTAAACTAAGAAGATTCTTAGTCACAGAAGGATCTAAATCTACAGCATCAGAGCAAAGGCTTGAAATTTTAAACAAATATCAGCATGTGTGGCATTTAGTAATGTTTGATGCATGCAAATGTTTAGCCCTTCTGAAAACACAGAGGGATGCTATTAAGACAGCTCCGTTTTATATTGCTTGGTTTTGTTTTTACACTAGTGGTTTCTGCTTTGAGGATAAACCTATGGTGTAACTAAGTGAATCTGACATTCCGATGCAACCTTGCTTCCTGATTACTATGCATTGTTGGTAAAATGCTTTTGGTAATATGGGTCTAGAGCCCTGTGTTTCTTAAGGCATTATCAAAACCGCCTCCTCACCCCCACCTTCTCAACCATGCATTGTTTTTCAACGCCCTTTTGGTAACATAAAACAATAACATCTCTCTGTACTGATCTTTTATCTTTTGGACAAGTACAGATTTCTCCTGTCCCTGAATTTATTATAGAACGGAAAGCCAACTTGGCTCTGTTAATTATTTGGTTTGTTGGCTGGTATCATTGAGGATATCAGCAGAGTGCTGGCAATTCAACTTGTCAAGTTTGCTGGCCCCATACTTGGCAGGAAGAGTCAAGTTTTGGGTAGAAATGATGCCACATGGTTAAAATTCCTCATTCCAAGTGATCCTAATAGTCTTGAAGTCCAAATGTAGAGTTCAGTCTATTTCTAGAAGACCTATCATTGTAGTGTCAAAGTTCAAGCCTCCAAGATAAAAGTTCCCTTGAATAAACAAGTTCTCTTGCCAGACGTTCCCTCTCTATTCCAGCGTATAGAAGCTCATCGCTATAGCAGCAGTGTCTTCTAGTGGTGCAGACAATGCAACTAACGGTCATAAACATACCTCTGACACAGAGCTACTGCATCCTGGTTCCAATTAAGCACAAGAAACCAATTTCTGAACAGCATCACAATGTACAACTAAACCAGATAACTTGCAGGAGAAAAGCCTGACAAGCACTGGGGACCTCAAATTGTACTTATCTCTGATTGACCCTTGTATAACATTTCATGCTATTAAAATATTCAAGAGAATTCAGAAAGAGAGATATCTAGGGCCATTTTCTCCACTCCAAAGGAGATGGGGTGGGGGGGAGGGGGTGTCACTGTGGGGTTGCCCTCTGCATTTTTCAGTCCATGGCTTTGACTAGTTTAAGCAAGTAGGCTTCCACCTCATGAGAGTCAGTCCTTAGAGCTCAGTATTACACACATTCATATGCGTTACGGTTGGAAGGGACCTTGGTAGGTCATCGAGTCCAACCCTCTGCCATGGGCAGAAAAGAGCACTGGGGTCAGATGACCCCAGCTAGGTGCTTGTCCAGTCTCCTCTTGAAGATCCCCAGGGTAGGGGAGAGCACCACCTCCCTTAGAAGCCCATTCCAGATTCTGGCAACCGTTATTGTGACGAAGTTCTTTCTAATGTCCAACCTAACTCTGCTCTCCCTCAAATTGTGGCCTCTGTTCCTAGTTACTCCAGGGGGTGCCCTAGTAATTAAAGATCTATTCCCTGCTGCCCTCCCCTGATGAATTTATAGGAAATCACAAGATCACCTCTCAGCCTTCTCTTGCAAAAGCTCAAGAAATTTAGGTCCTTCAGTCTCTCCTCGTAGGGCCTTGCCTGCAGGCCTCTGACCATACGAGTGGCCTCCTCTGAACGATATCAAGATTCTCTGCCTTCCTCTTGAAGTGTGGCACCCAAAACTGGACGCAGTACTCCAGCTGTGGCCTGACCAGTGCAGCAAAGTGGGGAAGCATCACCTCCCTGGACCCGTTTGTCATGCATCTGCTAATGCATGATAAAGTGTGGTCAGCCTTGTTGATCACTTTGTCACATTGACGACTCATGTTCATCTTGGAGTCAACTATGACTTCAAGATCCCTTTCCGCTACTGTGCTGTCAAGAAGGTCACCCCCCAGCCTGTAAGTGTTGGTGGTTCTTTTTGCCCAGGTGCAGCACTTTGCACTTGTCTTTGTTGAACTGCATCTTATTGCATTCTGCCCATTTTTCCAACCTGTCCAGATCCACCTGCACCTGTTCCCTAACCTCTGCTGTATTAACTTTGCCCCATAATTTGGTAACTTGAGAACTTGCTTTCTATGCCCTCATCCAAGTCACTGATGAAGACATTGAATAGCACTGGTCCAAGGACCGAGCCTTGCGGGACTCCACTGCCCACATCTTTCCAGGCTGATATCGACCCATCCACCACCACTCTCTGGGTATGACCCCTAAGCCAATTTGCCACCCCCCTGACTGTGTAATCATCTACATCACAGCCTGTCAGTTTATTTACGAGACCAGAATGAGATACCGTATCGAAGGCCTTCTTAAAGTCTAGGTAGATGACATCTACCTTGACTTCTGCATCTAAGCATTTTGTAACCTGGTCATAAAAAGAAACACAGTTAGTCAGGCAGGATGTACCAGCAGTGAATCCACGCTGATTTCCTTTCAGCATTATTTCCCCTGCTGGGCTCCCACAAATGTGATCCTTAATTATTTTATCCAGAATTTTCCCAAGGACAGAGGTGAGAACAACGGGTCTATAGTTTTCCGGTTCCTCCCTCCTCCCTTTCTTGAAAACAGGGACCACACTGACCCTTTTCCTGTCCTCTGAGACCTGACCAGAGCACCATGAGTGCTTGAACAGCTGTGCCAGCGGCTGTGCTCTGACACCGGCCAATTTCTCCAGTACCCTTTAATGAAATTCATTTGGGCCCACTGATTTGAACACGTCCAGCCCCTCCAAGTGCCCCTTCACTAAGTCTGCACTAACAGTTAGTGGGCAGGTGTCCCTCCTGTGTCTATCTATGATCCAATTGGGAGATTTACATAGTTTCCCCCATTGTTCAGCTTAAATACACTCAAACCAAACTCACTGGATACTGAGAGACCGCACTCCCATACCCTTCACAACCATTAACTGCGTGAAGTTACACTCTGTAATACTTGGTTCTCTAATTTGTCCAAAGTCACAGAACAGGTCAGCAACAGAACAAGGAATAGAACCCAGTTCTCCAGCCTTCCAGCCCATTGGATCAGGCTATCTCTAGCGTCATTGCCACAACAAAATCATATTAACTACTTGGGGGTAGGGAATAGGTTTCGTTTTTCAATCATGCAAAGTTTCACATGCATTTGTGAATCAGTGCTTAAAAATCCAGAATGTACCTGAATGGCTGCACAACTGAGGATGGGAAGTCAGTGAAGACAGCTAGTTTTTTTTAAAGCGATACTTAATCTCTCTCTCTCATATACCCTCTTCCTCCCCCCAACAAAAAGGGAGGCTCCCAACATTTTTGAGCATTCCTAGTTTTCCTCCCTGTGTTATCCTAGGTGGCTCTGTACTGAAAGATGCCACTGACCAATGACAGCACTCTTATGGGAAAGAACTACAACAGGAGTCTCACACAAAAGCTTAAATTCTTCTCTCATGCATACCAATCATTGAGCAATGCCCTTACACCAAACAAAGTACTTCAGACACTCAGCAACACACATATGATGAGAAAAGGTTCTTAAAAATAAATCAAGGGTTTGAGGTATGACATGTATTGCCATATGCACAGGACAAAGTGTGAATCTGGTCAGACATATGCAAAACAATTACATTTTTTCCCTGCTTGCTGTCCTGGTGCCTCTGCTCACCAAGGTACACCATGTCTTGAAGAGTTGGTATACACGTTCCAGACAAGGATAAATGCAAGGCTAGACTCAGTTACCCAACAATCCCACAACACTAGTGCTCAGATATCAAAGTCACCTGCTAAAAGCCATCAAAGCAAGCCCCAGTGAATAACTCCCTCTCTGTAGATAAGATGGAGGTAGTTTACCTACCTGAAAAGCTCTCTGACTTCCCTCACCGTAGCCTGGAATGGGATATTTCGGACTAAGATCTTGGAGCTCTTTTGCTTCTTGAGTATTTGTTTTTTACGGGACGAAGTCACAGTAGACCTAGTAAATCAAAAGAGAAATGAGAAAGTTACTCTCTACAGATCAACACATCATAGACTTCTCTCTTTTCAGTTCCTTCTAGGTTAAGAATGTAGACTTTCTGTTGTCTAGTTTCCTGATTGACATGTTCAATGAATGCTTATTTGCATCTCCAGAAGCCTCACAGACTAGACAGCAGAGTGGATTGATTTAAATCACTGATTTTAATCATGATTTCCATCAGCAGGTTTTAAAAAAACCCTCTTATTTACACACAGATTCAAATCTTGTCCAGCATTTGTACTTTTTAGCTATTTTCCAAAGAAAAAGTTCTTTCATATTGGGGGTAACTGCAGCTCTTGTATCAAATGCAGCTCTCGTATCAAATCTGTTTTTTCGTATACTAAACTCAAACGTATTTAGTTAAGCAGTTTCATACCTCAACATGCAATTCTTTAAGATTCTTACTTTTTTATTTTGTAGTAAATTGGAAAACTCCGATTAACACTTCTTATTTATCAGGGTTTATGTCAAGTGCAAAGTGAATGAAAATTGGAATAAAATTAAAATATGCACAGGTGGTGTTAAATTCATGCCAAAAAAGTGATAAAATACTGTAAACATGATAAATATATAAGGGGGAAAAGTAAATTTATGAAAATAGATACTTTGCATTTAAAACTGATTTTTTTAAAACAAAGAGATATTTACTGTACTTATTGAATTATCAGGTTATTTTTGGTCATGACGGACCAGATTTTCACAGGTAACCTAAGGATGCAGATAGGCATCTAAATACCTTCAACAAATCTAACCCCAGGTCCTTCAAGTTCAACAGATATCATCTCCTCTCCTACTTTTCTGATTCCAAACTTTTCAACTTTAATTGAACTAATGAAAAATCTGACCCTGCTACCTAAACTGAAACTAAAATAAGTCAAGGAAAAGGCTTTTATGCACAGGAGAATCCATTAACATTATTTTGATTCTGCCGTAATTGAACAGTGATTACTTTTAAGTGTCTTATTTCCCCAATAAGTTGGAACTACAAGATTTTAGAACTTACGGGTCGGGACCTACTTAATTCATGGCTTTGCAGATTTCACAAAAACCATAAAATCCAAGATTGTCTGTGAAATTTGCAAAAATCAACAAAAATACCCCCCTCCAACTTAATAAAGAATCAAATGCTGGTTCCCCAGTGAGAGCCAGAGTTTCGTGCTGCTGGGAGGGGAAGGTGCTGGCTGGCAGGGAGGCACAGAGGACAGCAGGCAAGATAGCGGCCATCCCCTAATTCCTCCTCCCCCTGCTGGGGCCTCTCAGCCAATCAGAGCTAAGGGGCAGGGTGGCATGAAGGGCAAGCACCAATCAAGGTGGAGGCTGTCCCCTCATCCCTCCTCCCCTCCCCCAAAGACCTCTCTGCCAATCAGCAGGAGGGGCAAGGCCACTGTAAAGTGCCCGCGAAATCAGCTCTGCCTGCTGCAAGCGGGCTGCGAAAACCCCTTGTCTCCCCATGATTTAAGTAGGTCCCTCCTCATGGGATGTTCCCCATCGTGAACCACTCAAATCTGGGACCCATGACAAATCTGCAACGTCGGCTGCATTAACGTAACTGAAGCAGAGCTGATACCACTGCTTCAGTTACATTAAGTTCACTTCTGTTCTCTTTGATCAGCTGTAAATAGCATGAACATTTCATGCTACTGTATGAAATCACTTGATTCCACTGCTAGGCATGGTTACCAAGCCAGCAAGAGCTGGAAATCAGATGGTAACCCTTCAGCCCTTGACGTGAGGAGTGCTACAGTGCCTCCACAAAAGTCATAAGCAAGCAGAGATATGAATGTGCTCTGAAGCAAAGTCCCACATAGCCCAAAGATCACCTCAACACCAATGACAACGCACAGAAAATTATCGCCTGCCTGGAGACCAGTGTAACAGTGGAAAGAGATCCTTTTCTTTAAAAGCTTAGGGTGAAAATCATTAGTTATACTTTGGGAGCCCCTATTCAATTCTCTAATCTAGTTTACCTTTTGGCCAGTTTCTCTCAATTAAATGACTTCATCAGTGTTAAGCTGTTATTCACTTAGTGGTGCTTAACCTTCTCCTAAAACTCAGAGCTTCTTTTTATTTTCTACTTGGAATAAATCAAATTTTAGGTGACAATTCCTTTTATTAGGCTATGTACTTGAGTAACACTACTGCTACTGCTATTTTTGATGACTCCCACATAATCATTTGAAAGAGTGCAAAAAAAACCCCCAAAACATTTACTCAGTAAATTAGGATGATTCCAGTGTGTCACCTAAATATGTATTTAAGACTGGCACTCTTCACAACCTGAACTACTCCCAGCAGCCACCACATTCTTCACACAGTGAAGTCATTAAAAAGACTAGTTGGCAATGAAATGTGGTCACTGTTGCTCAAAGGCTCACTGTCACCTAGAGAAGCAGGACTATAATCAGAGTCTTACTTGATGGCCCTCTCAGAGATTTTCACTTCCAGCTGATGGCCGTCCACCATGCAACCCTAAAAACATAAGTTACAAAGTAAAAACATGGACATTCAGAATATAGGAAAATGATTACACAACTTAATTCTCCTTCCTATGCAAGTACTATTCCTTTCCATCTTCCCCCCATAAACCTCTTTGCCATCCACTAGCCAAAACTGGATAATGGTACATAATACAGATGGGAGGCAGGTTGGTGTAATGTCTAGAGCAATGAATGAAAAGTCAAGACACAAAACTCTAGCACTGCATGACCCTGGAAAAGTAATTCATTTCTTTGTGCCACTATTTCTATTCTTACCCTTCATCTTTTCTATTGTGAAATCTTTCAGAGAGACAGTTCCTACCCCAACAGGCATTCATTTTCTACTGGGTGTAGACTGAATAAAAATCTCATTTGCTGACTGTAGACAATACAAGTAGGGGAGCTTTTAGTTTTTGACTGTAGGAGCCTGAGAAACTAGCCACTGAAATTTAACAATTTCTTTGCCTCCATTTTTCTGAGCAGGGACCGGGGTCACCACCCCCACCGGGATCCCGGGTAGGACCCAGGGGAGGCGCACACAGGCCTAGGGTCAGTGAGGACCTAGTCAGGGAACTTCTGGAGGGACTGAACATATTTAAATCAGCAGGTCCTGATGATCTCCACCCCAGAGCACTGAGGGAATTAGCAGAGGTCATTGCAGGACCCCTGGCATGGCTTTACGAACAGTCATGGTGCTCTGGCGAGGTGCCAGAGGATCGGAAAAGGGCCAGCGTGGTTCCCATTTTCAAAAAAAGGGAGAAAGGAAGACCCAGGAAACTATAGGCCAGTCAGTCTTACCTCGGTCCTGGGGAAGCTTTTTGAGAGCGTTATCCTGGGACATGTCCGTGAGGGGCCAGCAGGGGAAATTATGCTTAAGGGCAACCAACATGGGTTCATTAGAGGCAGGTCCTGTCAGACCAACCTGCTGGTCTTCTATGACCAGGTCACAAAATCCTTAGATGCAGGTGTAGCAGTGGACGTAGTCTTTCTGAACTTTAGGAAGGCCTTTGATACTGTCTCTCATCCCATTCTCATTAAAAAACTAGGGGACTGTTTTTTAACAGTCAACACCTACACAGTCAAATGGGTCACTAGTTGGCTGGAGGGCCGCACCCAGAGAGTGGTGGTGGACAGGTCATTTTTGACCTGGAGGGATGTGGGCAGTGGGGTCCCCCAGGGCTCGGTCCTTGGGCCTGCACTGTTTAACATCTTCATCAGTGACTTGGACGAGGGGGTAAAAAGCACCCTGTTCAAATTCACAGACGACACTAAGTTGTGGGGAGAAGTGAGCATGCTAGAAGGGAGGAATAGGCTGCAATTGGACCTAGACAGGTTACAGGGGTGGGCGGATGAGAACAGGATGGGTTTCAACACTGACAAGTACAAGGTACTGCACCTGGGGATGAAGAACCAGCAGCAGACCTACAGGCTGGGGAACTCCATTCTCGTCAGTGCAGAGGCAGAAAAGGATCTTGGAGTCATTATTGATGCCAAAATGAACATGGGCGGACGGTGTGGGGAAGCGGTCAGGAAGGCCAACAGTACCTTGTCATGCATCCACAGATGCATCTCAAGCAGGTCCAAGGAGGTGATCCTCCCCATCTACAAAAGCACTGGTCAGGCCGCAGTTGGAGTACTGCGTCCAGTTCTGGGTGCCGCACTTGAGGAGGGATGTGGACAACATGGAGAGGGTCCAGAGGAGGGCCACCCGCATGATCAGGGGGCAGCAGGGCAGGCCCTACGAGGAGAGGC